GCATCGGCAGGCGGACTCTCAACCACTGCGCCACCAGGGAAGCCCCGAATTGATCATTCTTAACTGACTTTGACCAATGCCCTGGAGCAGTGCCCTAAAGAACCCCTGCTAAAGTTGGTATTAACCTGTTAGTTGATGGATCTTTCGGTAGTCTAGGGGTTCTGGACCAGTTACCAGGTAGCCAGGTAGCTAGAGAGGCTCAGGTCAGCAGCTATTTACCAACAGGATTAGAAACATTTCCACACTTTAATCATTATGAACTAGCTGAACATCAGTATTCATCATACGCATTTTAAAGAAAACGGAGGCACTGCAGGTTAGGAGGTGTGGTTAAAGCACAATAAGTGATAGAGATGGAACTTGAACTCCATCGTTTTAATTTTAAATACCATGCCCTAGTGTACCATGCTTTTTTTGACTTTGCTTAACAGTTTTTTAATCAATTTAGTTTCTCACATTAGCAAGCAATATTGATTAATTAACTCACTTCTTTTTCACAACCCACCCTATAAGTAGATACTATGATCAATGCCATTGCACACACGAAGAAACTGAGGCACAGCGAGACTAAGTAACTTGCCTAGGGTCACTCAGCTCGTAAGTGACAGAGGCAGGATTAGAACCTAGGCAGCCTGACTTCCGAATCCATATACTTAACTGTCAGGCAATTACACCTCCCTGTTCTAGAAACTTTTAAAAGATTTCAAATACCCATAATCAACTTTGTTGATTTTCTCTACTTTAGGTCTGCTTTCTGTTTCATTTATGTGTGCTCTAAATTATTTCCTTCCTTCTGCTTTTTTATTTTAATTCAATTTTTTTTGGTTTTCTTTCTAGATTTTTGAGATGGAGGTTTAGATCCTTGATTTTCAACCATTCTTTTCTAATATATTCATTTAAAGGGCTACATTTTCCTCTGAGTACCGCTTTGGCTGAGTACTGCTTTAGATCCCCAAAATGTTGATATGTCACATTTTCATTATATTTTAATTCAAAATATTTTTCTCTGACCCATGGAATTAGAAATGTGTTGTTTAATATCTAAATATTTGAGGATTCTCCACATTCCATACTTACTCCTTAGAGAATATACAATAGAAAAATGTAAACTAGAATAGAATAAAAAAGAAGAAAACATGTGATCATCTCCATAGGTATAGAACAAGCATTTGATAAAAATGCAATTGCCCACAGCTTCTTACAAGAAGTAGTCCTCGCTTGTTTACTGGAAAATTTGGGTTTTTTTTTTTTTTTTTCTGAATTCCTCTTTAAAGCCAGAGAAGGTGCTTCTGCCTTTGAACTTCTCACTTTCTAGGTCCCCACCTACCCCTTACTCCCTGTTTCTCATACCCTTGCAGAGTTCTTTCTGAATAGGAAACCCATTCTGGAGATTTGCTCTGGAGTCTGGAGAAGTTACAGAGCTTCTCAGGGAGAATTCTAACCAGCCTCTTCTCCCCCTCCTCCCATCCCAGGATGACAACATCATGAGGTCCCTCCAGCTGTTCCAAAATGTCATGTAACTGTGAACACAGCCATTCGGCTCTCAGAGACGTTACTAAACAACCAACTTAACACCTTGATCGGCCCTCCTTCTGATTTTACACACAGACTCTTGGGACAGAAACACATTTTGCACTTTGGAAGAATTCTCTGCAAAGACATTTTGTGGAACCCAGGATCACGTGGCTCAGTCTCTGATTGCCAGCTCTTCCTCCTCCCTCTTCTTGAGAGAGACAAGATGAAATCGGGTTTGTTTTGGAAGCATGCTCATCTCTTCGTACTGCTGCCCTATGGAAGGTCCCTCTGCTTGAGCTTAAACAGTAGTGCACATTTTTCTGCTTGCGTGCCCCAGGCTACTGCCTCCAAGTCCAGCAGACCTTGATGCATCTGGAAGCAAGATGACCTGAGAGCCAAATGCACATCAGCTTCTGATGGTCTCCCAAACCAATGTGCCTGTTTCTCTTTCTTTGGTGGGAAGAATGAGGATTATACAGAACAATTAGAATCTACTATGACTAGATTGGGAGAGCCAGCACCTAACGTATGTAGGATAGGACTGAATTATTAAGCATGGCATTGTCTGATGACCCAAACTGTACATGTCCTTTGTTTCCAGAGGCAAGGACAATAATGCTCTCTCATATTAGCATCTATGCTGGTGGTACAAGTCCCTTAACATGCACAGGAAGGGAGCCAATGCCCAGTGGCCCATGCCTCCACTCCATCTCCTGCTAGAGCCCAGCACTGCATGACCCTCCCAGAAAGCCCAGGATGCCTGCAAATTGCTGTAATTTTATACCATCTTCTAATCAATAAACAGAACTGTTTCTTACACTCTTAATCTTCATTTCGTCCATGACATTGGGCAGAAGAGGTAAGCTGTGAAAGGGAAGGCTAGCCTATTCCTTTGGCATCCAGTTATTAGTGCCTACATTGTGCCAGGCACTGTGCCAAGTAGCACATCACCCTCCCCTGCCCCCAAGCAAACATCCGATTCAAATGCAAATACTGTGACCATAAGCAAACGCAGCTTAAAAATGAGACTCTTCACAACACCCCCCCTTCCAGAACAAGTGTCACTCCCAAGACCCTCTGGTATAGAAAGTCTGGAGCCTTACACGGTGTGGTTGGGGGTACAGAGATGAAGAGGTGGTCAGGACCCCCTGCTGAGGGACTTGGAGTCCAGGAGTTGATCAAGAGGCTTCAGCCTATAAACAGCAAATGATTGTTTATATTGGACACTGTGGGTCTTGGTTTCCTCATCTGACATCACATTAAAAAGATTAAGAGCTAACAGTGGCATTCTTGGAAGAAAAGCAATTTACTGAACCCCTGTTATGTGCCAAGGGCTACACTAGGGGCTTATATGCATTATCTCATTTCATGGCAGAATGCTCTGGAAGGTAGAGTCTTCATTTTGTTGGTTTGCACCCTGAAGCTCAGAGAAGTAAGGGAAACTGCCTAAGGTAGCACAGCTCCATAGAGAGATTAAAGTCTTCCCACTTTCTCCTAGAGCCTTCCTACTAGGGGATTCTGCCTCGCCCCAAGGAACTGAGAGTACCTCACACAAATCTCATTCATCTCCAGTCAGCTCAGAGAGGCAAAGGCATTCTTTGAATCCAAATAGCAGATGAGAAAACAGATATAGAGAAGGGAAAAGCCTCAGGTACCCGTGGATCACTAGCGAGAGCAGGTCACCACACCTCTGCATGGATGAAATATTCCCAATCTGATTGCCATTGGCTGCTGCTGCTTTATGGCTGGAAATTATAGAGGCCACAGCTCTGTTTCTCTATTTGAGCTTCCTGAGTGCATCCATGTGGTCATCTATGGCTGCTGGACATGTGGCTGGCCCCTAGCAAGGCATATACTTAGGTCCAAGCAGACGATCTATTCTTGTGACCTTTCCACTGTGGGGTGTGAACCTGCATCCTGAGGCTGTACAATGTCTAGGCCATGGTTCTCCACCCTGGCTGCACATCATAATCACCTGGGGAACTTTGAAAAATGCCAACACCTGGGCCCCATCCCAGATCAATTGAAGTAGAATCTCTGAGTGTAGAACCCAGGCATCAGAATTCCTTAGAAGCTGCCCCCATGATTGCAAAGTGCATAGAGAGCCACAATGGGGACCATACCCAGTGCTGTGAATGGAGCACATGACCTGAACCATCCCCCTGGCTACAGTGATTGGTTCAGAGCTAGGCTTGATACCTATGCCAGTCCACACAGCGTGAATCTCAAGACTTGCGCTGGGAACAATGGGGCAAAGATGTTCTCTCTCCTATTGGACATGAATGAGACAGCAGTCCTAGGACATGCTGGTAGTGATTTAGGAATTCTGAGAGGTTATCTGACAACCAAAGGGGAGAGAAGCCAGAATCACAGAAGGCAAGGCAAAGAGGTTTTTTTAATAACAAATTTAAAAATAAACCAGAAATTGATGAGACCATTGAGCTGCTAGATCAAGCGGCACCTGAACCTACACATACCTCTGACCTTTTCAGATGCCTTTGTTTGATGACTATGTAAGATTTAGGCCAGTGTTTCTCCACCATGGCTTCATATCAAAAATCACTTGGGGAGGCACACTTAGGGAAAATTTTCAAAGTACCAAATGCCTGGGCCTTATCCCAGGTTCTAAATCAGAATTTCTAGAGGTGGGGCCCTGAGCATCAATATGCTTTAAAAGCTCCCCAGGTGATTCCAGTATACACCTAGAATTGAAAGCCCTGGCCCTAGAAGAGTGGAAGGGCTGCTGCCCGTCTCCCTGTCCTGGCCAGACCACAGGTAAGAAGCCCAATTCAGTCCTCGGCACCCAATACTGAGAGGAAAATCAGCATCTGGGGATATTCAGAGAGAAATCAGAATGGAAGGAAGATTCAAAACTTGTCCTAAGATGAATAATCAACAGAAAGGAAGTTGGTTGTCCTGGTGAGGCAGGGAGAAAAGGACAACCTGTTGGAGCAACTGCAAGGATATGGGCCACCGCTCATCAAAGCTTTTAATAAAGGAACAAGGAAAAAATAAATGTTGCAGTTTCCACAGAAGCACAGAAACAGAAAGAGGCCTGGGCTTTTGTGAATCCATGCATCCCTCAGCAACTGGGGTATTAAGAGAAATGAGGTTCTCAGCTTGGAACACCCTCCTCTTGGCCTCCTGGAGGGATCCTGCTCCTCCTGAATCATCCAACAAATTGTCACTATTTGTCAGTCATCGTGCCTGCTGATGGGGATTCAACCGTGTAGTAGATGACTTATCAGACACGCTTGGCACTCACTGACTGCACAGGTGGACTCAACGGCTGCTGGCTGCAAATGCCCTGGGACTTTTTGCCTGTCACTCTGACTGTCACAGACTGTGGCCAAGATAGCCCCACTCTGTTTGTGGACAGGGCAGGCAGGAAGAATCAGGTAGTTAGCACTTCCCAGGAGTAGCCCTTAGCCAATGACCAATAGGAGTTGGTGGATCAATACCCCAGACCCCTCTCCTCAGTAGGAAGAACTCTATACCTTCTCCCAGCCTTCTCCACTAGGATTGAGCCCCAATCACCCACAATAGTAATCTGCTCAAAAGTACACCCCTTATTGACCTCTTTCTCTTCCCTGTCTCATTTACTGCATTCTCCTACCATTGCTTCCTGGAATCCCCTCCCGGATAAACTACTGAATCCCACATCTTTGTCCCAGGGCTGGATTCTAGAGGATCCTAACCTAAAACAAGTAATGAATAGGTCAGATATGTGTCCTGCTCTCATGAATCTTATTTTCTAATGGGAGGAAACAGAAAACAAATAAAATGATTTGGGGTAGTTAAAGTGGCATGAAGAGAACAAAAGTGTGATGTGACAGAAAATGACTGGGGTGACTTGGGAGGCTGCTTTAGACAGGGTGGGGAGGGAAGGCTCCTCCGAGCTGAGCTTGACGTGATCTCAGGGGTGGGGGGGAGGTCACCAGGCATTTATACAAAATCTGGGCCTAGGCTTGCTGTGACTTCTTGCTCAGGCTTCTGAGATTCTATCTCTTGTTCCATTAAGGAAATCAGATCTGTTGTGGAAATGGAGAATCCCATCACGACCAATCCTGTGGTTCTCTAACATCCCACCTCTGAATAAACCCTCTGAGCAGAGGCCAGCAGGGCCCATTGGAGAGGCTTCCAGGAGGAAATGTAGGTGGGACTGGGGACCACTGCTTGGTGCCAGGCTCTCCGTGGTTGAGATCCTACTTGAATCTCACAGCAACCTTGGGAAGTAGGTATCCTAGGCACCTATTCTTCGGATGGAAAAAAAGGATGCTCAGAGACACGGAGGAAACTGCCCACAACAGCTGGAAATGGGCTTAAAAGCCTGCCAAACTCCAAAATCCATGCCCAGCTCCATTTCTTAGAGAACATGAAGACCTCCTCCACCTATTCCCCAAACTAGCTGTAATTATATACAAAACACCAGAAGGTGTTAGAAAGCAGCTGTCCTGAAAACTAAAGCAATGAAAACAAGTCCATGAATTCAAGCCAAATTACTCTTCATCTAAAGGGAAACGTGCACAAAGATGCCCATGTGGGTTTCTTAGAGGAGCTGAAATAAGTCCCTTCACGTCAAAATAAGGCCCAATCTAATTGACAGACCTCAACAACCTCTGCCAAAAAACCCAGATCTTGAAGAGAAGGGGAAAACCTCAGGAGTAGCCAGCCCCACTGAGTGCACTTTTGATGACCCATGAGATTCTGACAGCTAACTGTACTCACAGTTCTAGAAATGGAGCACATGACCTAGTCTAGGCTAATCATTACCTCCCATGCCCCTGGCCACAGTGATTGGTTCAGGGGTAGGCTTAAGACTGAAGCCAGTGCAATCATCATGAATTTTAGGGTGTTTACAGAGAACGATGAAACGAAGTCCCTAGTTTTCCTGCTGGACATGAATGAAAAAGCACATAGCCCTGGGACATACAGGCAATCATTTTGTAAACCTGTAGGAAAGTCAACCTATAGATGAACATAATACCACAGAAGTCAAGGCACAGATGAAAACAAATGGACTCCTTGAGGATTTCACTGAACTGCTGCATCAAGCTTCACCTGAAGCTACATGCCCTGCCAGTGTTTTGGTTTTTATGTGTCAATAAATTCATTTGTTATTATTATTATAATTATTATTTTTGCTGTACGCGGGCCTCTCACTGTTGCGGCCTCTCCCGTTGCGGAGCACAGGCTCCGGACGCGCAGGCTCAGCGGCCACGGCTCACGGGCCCAGCCGCTCCGCGGCACGTGGGATCCTCCCGGACCGGGGCATGAACCCGTGTCCCCTGCATCGGCAGGAGGACTCTCAACCACTGCGCCACCAGGGAAGCCCCATTTGTTATTATTTAAGGCAGTCTGAGTTGAACCTCCTGTAACCTGCAACTTGACACTTGCTAACTGACCCCAGCCCCACTCCTTCATAAGACAGATGGAGCAAACAAAGCCCACAGCTACACAGATGGGTTGCAGCAAAGCTGGACCCAGAAACCCAGACTAGTGCCACATCCACTACACTGCTCTGCCACCTATTGATACTTTGCAGCCATAATATAATAATAATATTAAATATCACTTACAGAACACTTATGTCATGCTCTCATACATTTAATCCTCACTACCCTGAAATTAGTTCTGTTATTATTCCCATTTACTAATGAGATTAAATAAACTGACCATGATCAAATACCTAATAAGTCGTAGAGTGATTTGAACCCAGGACTTTCTGACTGCTGCACTTAACCACTAAGACAGGAACTGCCAGGTTCAATGTGTATACAGAGCAAAGCAGACTAAAGAAATGAGTTGAAAACCAAAGAATAT